AGTGAACAGCACACAATTCGAGAACATGAATCAACATATACCTGCACATCATTAGACTCCATTATTTGTAAAAGGCATATTGCTTGATCAATGTCCGGACTATATAAGAGGATCGGGTAGAGGGGGGGGGAGAAGGAGGCTCCCAAAAAGGAGAGTGATCCCATGGCCCCCAAATAGCGTGAAAATGACCTGAATGTTCACCCACTAGAGCTGTAAAGTATTCCATTTCCCTAATTTCAGAGATCGCTCTTAAAAGGTGATTTTTTTTGTGGGAACATCTGCTCATTTCCAAAATCCTGGTTTCGCCCTTCTGGCAGCTGTCAGAATATGTACTCCCGACCTTTTAGATTGTTTGTGGATACCCCTAAAAGGTAAGCCCAAAAGATAATGGGACGGGTCTAGGGGCAGGACAACATTAATGTCAGGGCTCCGGGTATGACCAGAGGTATGTGAACTAACGCAGGGAAACGCTTCAGGCTTCAGATATGTTATAAATGGTATAATTTATTGATACTAACAATACATAAACGCAGTGCAATACTAAAACATAACACAGTGCAAACGAACCAAACCAAACCACCCACAGATAACAATACATACAATGCAAGCGTAATCAGGCAGGCCGGGTCAATAACAATCAGGCAGGTAGGAACAGGAGGAGCAGGCAGTGAGTAGTCAGGTCACGAGCCGGGTACAGCAACTAACAGGCAGGTAGGTACAGGGGGTCAGGCAGAGAATGGTCGGGGTCATAAGCCAGGGATCAAACAGGAGAAGTCAGCAGAGGTCCGGATCAGGCAGGGTCGGCAGCGTGTCAGTCAGGCAGGAACAGGAACAGGAATGCAGGTAACAAGATACAGGGGCCCATAGAAAAACACACACCAAGGCACAGACTGCAGATCTGGCCATCCCTTAAATACACCTGCAATCAGCCTCAGGTGTTTTGGCTGACTGCAGGGTTGAGTCTCTGATTGCTGAGAGCACCCGCTGGCCAGCCCTGGTACTGCAGCCCACAAGGCAGGTGAGTCCCACCATTATTGGCAAGTCCATTCGTGACAATTAAGTGCTTGTTTCAATACCATTTGAACCATGGCTCAAACCCGCAATCTGTGGACAAAACCAAAAAATGTACGCCAATGTACCTACTCCTCCCATACATCTCCAGCACTTATCAGACAGATTTGGGTTTATTGCATGGAGTACTACAGGGGTCTTGTACCAATGCATCAACACTTTATACAAGTTTTCTTTGTATACAACACAGCGAGAGGTCTTCACAGCAGAATCCCATATCACCTGCCAATACTTCAAAGAGATTGAACATTGGAGTTCATCCTCCCATTTCCTCATATAAGGTGGGGCCTCTCAACCATAGATTCCTTATTGAGAAGCAGTTTATATAGAGAGGTGATAAGATGTTGCTGGGAGGGACCCTTAATAGCTATCCTCTCAAAGTCTGTATGGTGATCTAGCGTTAAGGAGGAATTCAGGGAGCGGAAGAAGTGACAAAGCTGCAGATAAGTGTACCTAGCCGATACAGGTATTGTTGATTTCCATGCCCTAATCTCCTCAAATGATCGAATTCTGCACGAAACAGGGTTGACCAGATGACGAAGTTGCAATATTCCATTAAATGCCCAAGGGTTCATCTGTGAGTAGGACATATTATCTGGGAGCTCTGGATTATACAATATGTTCAACAATGGAGAACACATGGACAGTAATTGCTGCGATTTCACACAAGTTGACCAAATCTTGAAAGTAAATTTCATAGGCTCTAGGAATGGAGGAGGGTGAGAGATGAAAAGGGCATAGTAATGTACACGTGTGTATTGGGTAAATATAATTTAATTTGATCTCTGCCCATCTATTGTGACGTTTCTGGGTGGACCATGATAGCACTTGTCTCAGATGAGTAGCTAAATTATATTTAATAATACCTGGTACCCCTAGGCCTCAATTAGTTCTAGATGACAAAAGAACTGTCTGTGCTATCCTGGGTTTTCTGGCATGCCAAACATACCTAAGTAATGCTCGCTGTAACATTTGCAGTTGGGCACGGGGGATTGCGATTGGTAGAGTCTGAAAAAGGTAAAGTAGCTTTGGCAACATTGACATCTTTAAGACATTTACTCTACCTAAGAAAGATATCTTATGAGAATCCCATTGATTAAGAAGGGTATAGATTTCCCAAAATAATGGGGGGTAGTTGGCTTCAAATAACTGAGCATAAGCTGAGGTAATATGGATACCAAGGTATTTAATAGCCGACATGCACCAATGAAATGAGTCATTTTGTTGGAGCAGCAAGAGATCTCAGGATGGATATTTAGGGGCAGAGCTTCCGTCTTTGAAGTGTTTATTTTATAACCAAAAAGATCACTGAAGGTTTGTAAGAGTTTATGCAAAGCAGGCGATGATAAGTGAGGTTTCGTTATAGTTAGGAGAACATCATCTGCAAAAAGTGAGAGTTTGTATTCCTTCCCCTTCACAGTCACTCCTGCTATATCAGGGTGTGCCCTGATCACCACTGCTAGTGGTTCAAGACATAACACAAATAGTAGTGGGGACTGAGGGCAACCTTGTCTAGTTCCATTTAGCATGGGAAAAGTATTGGATGTGGCTTAAAGGAGTTTGACCTGAGTGACAGGACGCGAATACAGCTCCGTAATAAGATTGAAAAAAGGCCCATGTATTCCCACATATCGTAATAATTCAAACATGTAAGGTCATCCCAACCGATCATACGCCTTCTGGGCATCTAAGCTTAACAATAGTGCTGGCGTTTGTGAGCCATGAAGCACATCCACTAAATTGATTCTACGCCTTGTATTATTCCCTGCCTTTCTCACCAAGACAAATTCCACTTGATCGTTATGAATAATTCTAGGAGCAGAGGAGCCAAATGATTTGCTAAGATTTTCGTAAAAATTTTATAATCCGTGTTAAATAATGCTATGGGTCTGTAATTAAGTGTGATCATTAAATTTTTGCCTGGTTTGGGAATGACTGTGATATGTGAGTACTGAAATTGTGAAATGGGAATTTCACCGTTCAACAAAGAGGAGTAAAATTCCAATAAGGCAGGACCAAAATCCGTCTGGTCCCGGTGCTTTGTGTGTCGGCAGCTCTTTAACCAATTCAATACCAGCAATTTTACACCTTCCTACCCAGGCCAGTTCTCAGGTTTCAGCGCTCTCACACTTTGAATGACAATTGCGCAGTCATACAACATTGTACCCGAACTAAAATTTTATCATTTTCTTCACACAACTAGAGCTTTCTTTTGGTGGTATTTAATCACCGCTGGGGTTTTTATTTTTTGCTAAATTAACAAAAAAAGACCAAACATTTTGAGAAAAAAAAAGTTTTTCTTTGTTTCTGTTATAAAGTTTGCAAATAAATAATTGTTCTTCATAAATTTAGGCTGAGATGTATTCTGCTACAAGTCTTTGGTGAAAATAACCCAAATTAGGATGTATTTTTTAGTTTGTAGGAAAGTTGTAGAGTCCACAAACTATGGTATAGATCTGAATATTGATCAATCCTGAAGTACTGACAGCAAATCTAATTTCTTGAGGTCCAAGAATGTCAGAACAGTACAGATATCCCCCAAATGACCCCTTTTTGCAAAGTAGACAGTCCGACGTACTTCATAAGAGGCATGGAAAGTTTTTTGAAGTTGTATTTTTTTTGTCATAATTTTTAGTAATTTTTAGTAACATAATAGTTTCACTATTTTTTTTTTTACATATTGTCACCAGTGCAGTACAGCGTCATCATAACTGGCATGACGGTGATCAGGGACACTGGTGACAGTATGAAAAAAAAATATATATATATGTATTTTTTTTAATGTTTTAATTATTTTTTATTAATTTTTTTTTATTTTTTTTAAGATTTTGTTTTCATATTTCACTATGACCAAAGTAGTACAATGTTACCATAGTAACATTGTACTACTTTGGGGAAGTGATCAGTATTTTTTTTTTTATTACTCAATTTGCTTATAGCAAAGAATTATTTTGCTATAAGCAAGCATTTACCTGAATGACATTGATTCATTCAGGGTTTTTTTTTTTTTTTTCCTGTGCTTAGCTGTGATTTGGCCACAGCTAATCACATGACATGTGCATCTGATTACCTGTGACCATTCACAGCTAGACACTAGTATACAATGGATGGTATGAATGAAGCCATCCATTGTATACAACTGTCATGTGACCTGCTGTGATTGGTTACAGCAGGTCACATGGTACCGGCAATGGGGCCGATACTCAGATCTGTCATCGGCCGTGTCCGAGGTACACGGCCGGTGACAGATCGTGCCGCTGTGCAATCTGCGCATGTGCGGGAGGACGTCATATGGCTGATGACATTTGCCGGCCGCCATTCGGCCATAGGGTGGGCAGCAAATGGTTAACAGCTGCATTTAATAGTGATAGATGTGTTTAGGACTGGCCTATCTTCCCTTTTCAATTTGAGGAGCTGGAGAGTTGAAAATAAAGCATCACAGGAATCCTTATGAAAAGGGGGATGTACGTCTGGTACTAAGCAGTTATAAAGCTTATGATAAAAATCTCCAAACACCTGAGCTATTTGTTGTGGGCAGAGAGTAGGGACACAATCTGGCTTAAATAGAAACTCGGGAGCGGAAGGTGTTGAGTGAGCTTTCAGTTTATTAACTAACATCCTATGAGGTTTATTAGCAGATTGTTAAAACTTCTGTTTCATCCAAAGCAGTTGCTGTGCTACAGAGCTTGCCTGAAGTGTCTTAAGTTGATCCTTAAGTTGTATCACTAATCGAAGCCTAGATACAGAGGGTGCGTCTATAAGTTTTTTTTTCCGCGTGAGCTAATTGGTTCATTCATAAGATCAGCTTTCTGGTGAAGCCTAGATTTCTTAAGACAGCAAGTATTAAGTTAAAAAAAATTATCAGTGTTTCGAAATGGAAATGTTGACGTTTCAGTAAGAGTGTATCGTTTAAACGGCAGTGGCAAGAGAGTGTCAGGAATAGACTCAGCACTGGTGGTGGGACTCACCTGTCGTGTGGGCTGCAGTACCAGGGCTGACCAGCGGGTGCTCTCTGCAGCCAGAAGCTCACTCCTGCAGTCAGCCAACACCTGGGGCTGATTGCAGGAGGTGTATTTAAGGAATGACCAGGCCTGTGATCAGGGCCTTGGTGTATGTTTCCCATGAGCTCCTGTACCTGGTATCCTGTGTTCCTGCCTAGTTGCTGACCCTGCTTTGATCCTGACCTCTGCTGACTGTCTCTGGTTTAACCCCTGGCTTGCCTGACCATCCTTCTGCCTGATCCTCTGTACCGTGCTGCCTGTGAATTACTGAACTCACCTTGTGACCCTTACTATTCTCTGCCTTCTCCTCCGGTACCTCACTGCCCGCACGTTGCTGACCTGGCCTGCCTGATTACGCCTGATGCTACCCAGACGATCCATCCATCCCGCACGGATCCAGTCACTACTCTCCAAACCTGCCAGCCCCTTCACATCAGGCTTTCCCCCCGGTACAAACCCTCGACGGACCCCTCTACCACAGTTGGGTGCACTTGGGCCGCAACCTGGTCTCAGTCCTGTGCCAAGTCCATCCCCACCATCAGGGGCTCCGGTGAAAAGGCAGACTGGGGCTTAGACTCTGCGTCCTGGGGAATCCCGTTCTGTGGGTCACTAGAGATCCTGCCAGGCGGTGCCTGACAGTACCTTACGGCCCGCCTGACCATTCCACCTCTCCAGCCTGACTACGCCTGTGTTCCTGAAGCCTGCTACTTCCCTGTGTCAGTCCACACATTTCTGGTCATACCCGGATCCCTAACAGAGAGTATGGTTGGTCTAGAAACAGATGTAAAGCCAAAAAAGAGTGGTCAAACCAAGAGCTGGGAATAATATCGGAGCTCACCTTCTGTTTAAGTAGGGGAGATGAGAGTAAAAAATAATATCTAGTTTTAATATGATGTACTGGAGAAAAGAATGAAAACTGTCTGGCACTCGAATGTTGTATTCTCCAGATATCAAACAGCCTATGTCCCCTAATCCACTGACGGAAGGATGCAGACTGTTTTAAAACATGTAGTTGGCCCTGGAGGGATCTCCTATCGTCCGTAGCTGACAAAGATGAATTGAAGTTTCTGCCAATGATCTTGAAAGGGTGTGATGAAACTAAAAGTGGAGAAATGGTTTCTGTAAGAAGATTAACGATTGATTAGTGTTTGGAGCATACACATTAAGGATTGTAAGGTAGGTATTACCATATTGACATTGGGAGTCTAATACCAAAGATACCACCTAAATTGGGCAGCCTTTTTTAATGAGGATAGCAACACCTGCTTAACCTGTGCTGTCTAGAGTGGCGCATGCTATAGGAAAATATCTGAGGGCAAAATGAAACGAGCTTCCCTTTTTGAAATGTGTTTCCTGGATAAAGGTAACATCAGCCTTGGACTGGCGGAATTCCCTAGGAGCTATCGACCTCTTCCTCAGTGAATTTAAACCTTTAACATTGCAAGAGTATAATTGTAAAGACATGTTGGTATGGTCTGAGTATTAAGCAAATGTATTCAGGGCATTATAACAAATAAACCATGCTGTTCCAACAGAAAATAACAAAAACATTGGCTAAGGAAGACGCATCAAGTGCGTCGTAGCATAACTAACAAGCATAGAACAAACAAATCGAAAAAAAGACTTGTAAATATAGGATAAGACCAAAACATGAAAAGGGTCTGAGTAGCCTAGGCCACCCAGACATCCACAGCCGTAGCTGTAGATGGATGGGGACAACATTGGGAGGGTGAAGGTCAGGCGGTGATTTCACTTCTCTCCTCTGAAATAATCAGCAATTGACAGAATATTATCTGAAAAAGATCTCGATGGGTTGTCGGATTTATCTGTGAGGGAATATCCAAATTGTCGGACAGGACGTGTCAATAGACGTTTAGTCTTAGGTGACTTCAGGTGTGTTGCAGGACATCATCAAGTGACAGAAGACATCCGAGGTGCAGGAGACCTTTGAGGGATCGGCAGGTGTGTCTTGTTCTTGGTTCTTGCTGGATTCCACATCTTGTTAGGGGTTGTGGCTGATCTTGGCTTAGGCAAAAGTAATGCTAGGGCTTCATCTGGGAGAGGAGGTAGGCTAAATTATGTAAAAACGCCTCTCGTTGATCTCTAATTGTGTGTTGAGTACCATCTTTAGTTACAGTTAGTCTAAACTGAAAGCCCCATCTATATATAATGTGGTGCTTCTGTAGGTGGAGAGTAAGCGGACAAAGTATACGCTTCTTAGATAGTGTGATAGGGGACAGATCACTATAGATTTGGATTTTTTTCCTCTCTGAAATCAACAGAAGCAGCATTACGTGTGGAATTCAGCAGAGACTCCTTGCTATCATAGTAGTGGAACCAGACGATAATGTCTCAAGGTCTTGCGCCCAGTGGTGGTTTTGGAGCAAGAGAGTGATGGGCCCTGTCCATTTGCCAATCTATATCCAGTACTGCTGGGGCCAATCAGTAAACAGACCTCGAAGATAATCTTTGTAGGTCGTGTCCCTATAGATTCTGGGACACCACATATTCGGAGGTTCTGTCTCCTCTCCCTATGCTCCAAGTCTTCCTGTAGAGATTGTAACTGGGACATCTGCTGTTTTAAAACGTGATTATCTTCTTCTAGCACATGTACATACTTTACCAGATCATCAAATTTGGTTTCTAAATGATCTGTGCGCTCTTCCACCAGTGCTATTGCCCCTCTATGTTCCTGCACTACTTTCACCACTGCTGATGATATAGTATGTGTCAGATTCTGCTAAAGATTGTGTAACTTATCGTCTAGAATGTCTTCTGTAAGATATGGAACAGGGAAAGGAGGAGAGGGAGCAGACTGGTGCATTACCTCCAGTGTACAATCCGACCGGTTCCATCGTCGGTGCTGCAGGATCACTTGAGGCTGGGGATTCGGCCCACGACACAAACCTATCCATGTGGGTAGGCTGCGGCTCTTTAGCGGGTGACGGAAGGAACTTCTGCCTCCCAATTTTACATCTGGATCTGCAGGTATCGCTCAGTCGAAGACTGAGGCTCTGCTGAAAAAAGCTGCTGATGGCTGCTGAGGAGATAACGGTGAAACTGAGCTGGCCTAATGCACGTCCGCCATCTTCCGCCTCCGCGCATGCGCCCTCTACTCTGCTCCTTTGAATTTCCCATCAATGCAGTCGTAAAAAAATTTAAATTTGACACCACTAATGATTAGAAAATCATACAGACTTTCTTAAAATGAACATTTTCAAAGGACAAGTTTGAGTATGGCCAGCATAAAGTTTCGTACACACGCTCTGAATATCGGCCGGTTTAGCAGGATTTATTGACAATATTAAAATATATATTAGTGCCACATCCCTAATATTGTATATTTGAACCGAATAAAGACCTAAGAATGGGGACTTTTTGAGGCACAACATAGGCATAAAAACATGATTTATTGTCAGATAATTGTTATTATCACAATCCAACATACAGTCAGGTCCATAAATATTGGGACATCGACACAATTCTAACATTTTTGGCTCTATACACCACCACAATGGATTTGAAATGAAATGAACAAGATGTGCTTTAACTGCAGACTGTCAGCTTTAATTTGAGGGTATTTACATCCAAATCAGGTGAACGGTGTAGGAATTACAACAGTTTGCGTATGTGCCTCCCACTTGTTAAGGGACCAAAAGTAATGGGACAGAATAATAATCATAAATCAAACTTTCACTTTTTAATACTTAGTTGCAAATCCTTTGCAGTCAATTACAGCCTGAAGTCTGGAACGCATAGACATCACCAGACGCTGGGTTTCATCCCTGGTGATGCTCTGCCAGGCCTCTACTGCAACTGTCTTCAGTTCCTGCTTGTTCTTGGGGCATTTTCCCTTCAGTTTTGTCTTCAGCAAGTGAAATGCATGCTCAATCGGATTCAGGTCAGGTGATTGACTTGGCCATTGCATAACATTCCACTTCTTTCCCTTAAAAAACTCTTTGTTTGCTTTTGCAGTATGCTTTGGGTCATTGTCCATCTGCACTGTGAAGTGGCGTCCAATGAGTTCTGAAGCATTTGGCTGAATATGAGCAGATAATATTGCCCAAAACACTTCAGAATTCATCCTGCTGCTTTTGTCAGCAGTCACATCATCAATAAATGCAAGAGAACCAGTTCCATTGGCAGCCATACATGCCCACGCCATGACACTACCACCACCATGCTTCACTGATGAGGTGGTATGCTTAGGATCATGAGCAGTTCCTTTCCTTCTCCATTCTCTTCTCTTCCCATCACTCTGGTACAAGTTGATCTTGGTCTCATCTGTCCATAGGATGTTGTTCCAGAACTGTGAAGGCTTTTTTAGATGTCGTTTGGCAAACTCTAATCTGGCCTTCCTGTTTTTGAGGCTCATTAATGGTTTCCATCTTGTGGTGAACCCTCTGTATTCACTCTGGTGAAGTCTTCTCTTGATTGTTGACTTTGACACACATACACCTACCTCCTGGAGATGTTCTTGATCTGGCCAACTGTTGTGAAGGGTGTTTTCTTCACCAGGGAAAGAATTCTTCGGTCATCCACCACAGTTGTTTTCCGTGGTCTTCCAGGTCTTTTGGTGTTGCTGAGCTCACCGGTGCGTTCCTTCTTTTTAAGAATGTTCCAAACAGTTTTTTTGGCCACGCCTAATGTTTTTGCTATCTCTCTGATGGGTTTCTTTGTTTTTTTCAGCCCAATGATGGCTTGCTTCACTGATAGTGACAGCTCTTTGGATCTCATCTTGAGAGTTGACAGCAACAGATTCCAAATGCAAATAGCACACTTGAAATGAACTCTGGACCTTTTATCTGCTCATTGTAATTGGGATAATGAGGGAATAACACACACCTGGCCATGGAACAGCTGAGAAGCCAATTGTCCCATTACTTTTGGTCCCTTAACAAGTGGGAGGCACATATGCAAACTGTTGTAATTCCTACACCGTTCACCTGATTTGGATGTAAATACCCTCAAATTAATGCTGGCAGTCTGTAGTTAAAGCACATCTTGTTCGTTTCATTTCAAATCCATTGTGGTGGTGTATAGAGCCACAAATGTTAGAATTGTGTAGATGTCCCAATATTTATGGACCTGACTGTATGTGACATCATTCTATTTCACATCAACTATACTGAATCATATAAGAAGTAAAAAGTTTCAAGGAACAGCATATCTCTTCTCATATGATCCAATTCTTTGTAAACTTTAGGCTCATTCTTTTTAGGCTTGGGCTCAACACGTTTCATGGACTTGTTCCACTTCTTTAGGAGCCATCAGCATATAGACATTTAACTACTGATATAAACAAGAACAAAGACATGCAGTCAAAAATTTATATATTTTCTCATTCTGGCTAAATAGGGT